GGGGCGCGCCGAAGCTCTCCATCAGCCTGGCACAGGCGCTCCCCTTTGGGGGGGCTAATCTGCTTCTAGCATCATCCCTCCATTTCAGGAGGGGATGCTCCTATAAACGCAGCAGTTTGCAAACACCAGTCCCTCGAGCTGGGCAAGATGTGGTGGGTCTCAAACCTGCGCCCACATCACCCTGCAGGGCTCTACCACGGGCATCAGTCCCGGTGGCCGGATCCTGCCCTCGCCCACGGTGCCTTGGCAAGGGCTCAGCACCGCAGGGTTTGGCCTCGGCAGGAGGCAGGTGCCGACGGGGAGGCTGAGAGGTGAAAGCCCGCTCCGGCACCACAAAGCAAAGCTCCTGGAGCTGGGGAAAAGCCTCTGGCAAGGGGGTGCACCCCCAAAAGCTGTGCCTGGCCTCGGGGAAAGGGTGGGGGTCGCCAACGAAGAAGCCCAGCCTGGCTGCAGGGAGTGGGCAGCGGAGCAGGGGGCAGCAGGAGGCAGGTGCCGACGGGGAGGCTGAGAGGTGAAAGCCCGCTCCGGCACCACAAAGCAAAGCTCCTGGAGCTGGGGAAAAGCCTCTGGCAAGGGGGTGCACCCCCAAAAGCTGTGCCTGGCCTCGGGGAAAGGGTGGGGGTCGCCAACGAAGAAGCCCAGCCTGGCTGCAGGGAGTGGGCAGCGGAGCAGGGGGCAGCTTTTTTCTCACTGCAGGACCAAGCCGGCTCCTCACTTGGCTTCGCTTCACCCCTGCCCGCACCCACCTCCGCGGGGATGAGTGAAGGCTGCTGCGCTGCAGAGCGGTTTTGCTGGAGGTCCCTCCTGCAGCCCCTGCTTTTGCTTTGCCATGCCCGGCCACAACCAGGGAGGGGCTGAACAGCTCAGGAGCAATATGGGGGGAGGCTGGCTCTGCTGTGGCACGACATGAATTGTCAGGTCTCAGCTCCAACTGTGGCTGGTTGCTGGCAGGGGCCTGCTCCCCTCCAGCTATGATGTCCCTTCCTTCTGCTGTGACCTTGGGTAGGGGGTCCTTATTCCCGGATCCCATTTCCCTCAAAGGAACGAAACCCAAATCCCCCAGAGAGAGGCCCGAAATACAGCCCAGCCCTGTGGGGCTCATACTGCTGGATGGTGGGGTGCAAGCGCTGGGGCTGGCTGCTCCCGGCCCCCCA